TTGACACACTCCAATCTGTGGAATTTCGCATCCAAAGATAAAGAGTGCGTGTTGTATCAAAAGTCAATCGTCTCATAATTATACAATCCCATCTTATTATTCCACATGACGCTGCATTTCATTGAGCAGTTCATCGACGCCTGTTACTAAAATAGATGGTAAAGACACGCTCAAAACAGATGAAACAGATGCACTCTTGTAATTAGTTCGACCGCTAAAGTTGTTGATCTCCACCATCCATTTTAACCAATAACGGTATATATCCTGCTTAACACAATTAAGTTTGGGTAACTAAGTTAATCTCACGAGCGACCTTTCTATGCTTCCTCTACAACATAAAATTTATATATTTCTCTTTATCCTACCGTCTATTTTGAATGGAAAGCTAAAATTGTTTCAATCACAATGTCACGTCTCTACATTATTTTAACTTTAATTTTTTTTACCATCTATTTTAACACCAAATTTTGAATGTCACGTCTCTACATTATCTTATTTTTAATTTTTTTTACAACCTATTTTATTTTTTTTTTTACCACCTATTTTAACACCAAATTTTGAATGTCATGTCTCTATATTATTTTATTTTTAATTTTTTTTACCACCTATTTTAACACCAAATTTGTATGTCCAGCCCTTCAGTAAACTCGCACTATCAAAAAATATATAAAAAATATTTTTAATAAATTAAAATGATCAAAATATCCTTTCAAGGGATATTTTGGTGATTATATTTTATAGAAAATTTAGTTTTAATATTTTTTTTATAGGTACACCGAAACGAGAAAATGACACGTAACAAATTTCATATTCATACAATTTGTATAAAAAAAACTAAAAATAAAATACTTTGAGATGATAGATCTAAAATCAAACGATGAGTAATACTCTTGATCAAAATTGGACGGGTAGATGGTAGGAGAAACATATATCTTATATGCTGCAAGGGAAGTAATCTCTCACATCGCAACAATAGCGTTAGGGTTTCGGCCTTGTTTTCCATTCATACCAAAAACCAATGGTTTAAAAAGAGGATCGGTGACCCGGATCGGGCATTTCAAAAATCCATCCAGATCGGTGAATCGACGTTCCGGATCGAGAATCGGCCGAACAGGTCAGATTAAGCTGTAAAAAAAATATAAAAAAATTATTAAAATTTAGTATAAATGTTGTTTTTTAGGACTCCAATAAGAAATCGGGATACCATATTATTAATTTTCATTTTTTTCATCAATATGTGAATATTGAGATATTTTTTCTCAGTATATTTTTTCTCTATATGAACTTATTTTAACCATTAAATGGCATCACACAAAATAAAAATCATAGAACTATCATAGATGAAGTATATAATCATACATAGACTACAATAAAGAATGACTTTTTTATAAGAACATTTTAGTTTTTTTGGCAAAAACCTTTTATTTTTTTACAAGAAATGTTTGTTGTATTACATTTTTTTTTTGTTTTTAGCAAGAACCTTTTTTTTTTTGACAAAAAATACTTGTTGTATTTTATTTTTTTTATAAGAATTTTTTT